GATATCTGGGGGGGTGACTGAAAGCTGGGCCCTGGGCTCTGTGGGGGAGAAGTGGGGCGGCTGGGGGCCGGGTCGCTGGGTTCGCCGGAGGAGGTGGGGAGGGCTGAGCTTCTGGTCTCTCTGGGGTCTGGGGCGTATAGCAGGTGCATTCCTCGCTTCTACATATAGTGTGCCTTCTTTCAGGCCTGGCTGAATGAGAAGTTTGCCCCAGAGCTGTTGGAGAGCAAACCTGAGATCATTGAGTGTGTTGTGGAGCAGTTGGACCATATGGTAGGTTCTGCTGGGCTAAGGTGGTGGTACGGGCAGGCCCTGGTTTCCTGGCCTGGCAGATACATGCTTGGGTTCCTCTGGGATTGCCAGGATTGTCTGCTCCTCTGTCCCTGAGATGAGGCTGTTCTGAGTACCTTCTTTGAGCTTCTCTTGGGGAGGGGACTGAGAGATACAAGGAAACAGTGTGCTTTGTGTCACCAAAAGCAGCTACAGTCTGTTTTTGTGGGCCCTATGTACAAAACCTATCTTCCTCTCTGTTTCTTGTTGTTTGACATTTCAACCATTTAATTTCTCTTTGTCTTTCCTTGCAGGAGGCAAACCTGAAACGGGCAAAGAGAGGAGACTTGAAGGTCAGCGTTCACCGCATGGAGATTGAAAGGATCCGTTACGTGCTCAGCAGCTACTTGCGATGTAGGCTTGTGAAGGTAATACTTGCTTGTGCTGCCCAGGGGATGAAAAAGGGTGACTTCAGGAGTGATTTTTGCCCACACAATGCCTCCTGCTTCAGCAAGGCACTTAGTTAAAGCGCGCTCCATCTGTCTCTGTCTGTGTCCTCCAAAGTGCAACCCAAAGGAACTCATTCCTTGGACACGCTTTTCTGTTGTGATGAAGGAGGATCACAGCATTGCTATGAGTGTTTTCTTACCTCATCTAAGTCCAGGATGGCACAATTGAATGTTTGCATGTTCTGCCTGGGTCCTGCCAGGTACACATACGGTTGTGCAGCTTGGAGACCCCAGCTGACCATATCGCTGCTAATTCAGGAGCAGGTATTTGGGCAGGCCTGCAGCTGTTGCATACATCTGTACAGCAGTGGATTGCTGCTTGTAGGGAGAGCCTCTGGGGAGTGGGTATTGTAGGCACTGAACTACTGGGAGAGGTCTGTTACGGTCTTTTGGGGTTTTGTTCCAATATCAGATAGAGAAGTTTTTCCCCCATGTCCTGGAGAAGGAGAAGTCTCGAGCCGAAGGGGAGCCTTCTATTCTATCACCGGAGGAGTTTGCCTTTGCTAAAGAGTAAGTAGGTTTTACATGCATCTCCCTCCCTTTTTATAGGTTATGGAACTCACCTGTGTGTTAGGTGAGTTCTAAGGAACTCACCTTAGACAGTTAGTCTTAGACAGGTTTGCAGTAAGAATCACGTGTCTTACCAGGAGGTTTCCTTATGGACAAGGAAAGAGGTGAAATAAAATAACTGGTAACTGTGAGCCAGTTACCAGGGCAAGCCATTAGGCTTGTCTCTGGCCATGCCTGTGGGACCAGGAGATGTCGCTTGCTGGCATTTTGAGTCAATGCTCTCCCTGCAAATTTGTATTTGATTAAACCAGTAAATGCTCCAATGATTTATTTCAGGTACATGGCAAACACAGAGACTTATCTGAAAAACGTGGCCCTAAAACACATGCCGCCCAACCTGCAGAAAGTCTCTCTCCTAAAATCAGGTGAGTACATCAAGACTCCAGGGTAATCTGAAAATTATAGCAGCAGGGGTGTGGGGAAAGCTCTGGGGAGCATGAAATTTTAAGGGCTAGTCCTCCGGCTGGTGCTTGGTAGAAGCAGAGATGATGGGATGAGTGTTGTAACACTGCTCTGCTGTGTGGTACACGTCTTGATGCTGCTGTCCCTTGGCACTGCTGTCAGAGGATCATGCTGGCCCCTGCCGAGTCTTGTCTTACGTTGAGGCAGTGCGCACTACATCTGGTCAGAAGTATCTAGTGTTTCCTTTACTGGCCATGAGTGCGCTGTCCCTTGTACCCCTCTGTTAGCTCGGTGTCCTGCAGAGGAACATAAGTGAGTGCTGAGCTCGTGCTCTGAATCTGTTGTCTGCAGTTCCGAAGCCCAACCTGGACTCCTTTGTGTTTCTGAGGGTGTTGGAGCGTCAGGAGAACATCCTGGTCGAACCAGAGACAGATGAGCAGAGGTAGGTGGGCGCTTCCCCATGTGGTGCATGTAAATAAGTTAGTTTCACAAAAGCAGTGTGGGTTAAAGCAAAACAGGAGAGGCAGCTTAACTTCCCGTCTGTCTCTGGCAGAGAGTACACCATCGACCTGGAGAAGGGCTCACAGCATCTGATCCGGTACAAGACCATTGCCCCGCTGGTGGCCTCGGGAGCGGTGCACTCATCTGAGGGGGCAAGCGGTAAGTGCAGGGCCAGGACCGCAGTGGCGCCGGGGGGCCA